TTTTTCAAAGACCCTCATTACATTTCTGAGATGGCCTTTTCTTTCTCTGGGCCATCAGTAGGAACTAGAGGAAGAAAACCGAAACATTCTGAAATTCAGCCCTCCCCTGCGACCTCCAGCAAGGCTCCAGGAGCTTCCCTTGAACTCAGAGTGGTCCATGCTCTGCTCCTCTGGTATCAGATTGCTACCAGCATTATACTGTAGTCCACTCATGTTTTCATGATCCCAGGCAATGGCTCTTGTTTCCCCTTCTCAGAGACTTTATTCCTTGGTCCAGTACTCTTCTCAGAAAATTTTGCCTTTTGTATAGCTGCCTTACTTCCCACTGCTTTCTCATTTCTCTTCACCATTTACTGTTGCTAAGTCTCTGTGCCACGTGTGTTTACCACTGAGGACTGTTCATTAGCTCCCCCTGAGAAAGGCAGAATTACTAAGGCAAGAAGTCATCATCAAGGCAGTTCAAGATGATGAGTGAGTTCAGCTCCAGATTCAGACACCTAAACAAAGATGTCTGCGATGGAGGTGTCTCCACGTGATGAGGGTGTCCAAGCTCCCCTTGTGTTCAATGGAGATATAGGCAATACAACCACAGGGTCTAAATGATGACCTTCATACAGTTCTGGCTCCGCTGGCCGTAATGACTAAGGAATTTGTTTGACTTTTGCCTAATGTCATTTGAGATGCCCTGAGTACCCTGCCTCACTCCAGCTTCCAGCTCAAAAATGTTCTTGTCTTCTGTATGCAAGTTTGTCACATCTGCCAGCATTATATGGAGGTCTGGAATATCCTAGAGCAACTCAAATGTTGCTGGATTCCCATCTGTGATGGTTGCACTAAGCCTTAATTCTCCATTGAGTAAAGTAAGAGACATCACTTATCCGTGGACACCCTGAGGTCAGTCTCTGCAGTAGGAGCTGAACCCGGTCTGAAATACCTTGGCAGGGTGCACTGTGATGTGAAGGAGATCTATTCCTTGCTTTAGCATGGGTTTTATATGAGACCTTGGGTAAATCCTTCACATTTTAGTGCTTCGTCTGTCAAATGGGGACAATATAGAGCTCTGCCTCACCGTGCTGAATGCAGGTTAGGAGATGTCTCACCATAAGGACTTCAGGGCACATTACTAAAGGGATCTGGGGGACTAATTCTTGTGATGTGTCATTCAAGACACATGGGCTTGACTCCTCAGTGATGCTGACTACAGCCTGTGAGTCACTCATTGCTTTCTAGCAGGTGAAAGGAGGAGTTCAAGGCTGTTGTACAGACCGGTGTAGAAAGTTTGAAGATAACCCCAGTCTATGCCAGCCTGGCTTGTTATGGGCAGGTGGGATACAGATCCCACAGATGCAGCCACAAGGCTTCCAGCCCCATGGTAGCTGATGTCCTCCTGGCTTGAGAATGCCCACAGAGATGTGGCAGTGCATGGCAGGTATTTTCCACTCCTAAGACTAAGCACAGAGTAGGAGGAGTGGGAGTGGGTTTTTTGAAGTTACTTCAGTTTCAAACCAACCCCAACCCTTTGATAAACAAACTTTGGAAGGGAGTTGAAACCCACTCATGCTAGATGAAGGTGCGTCAGTCACCATGTGCAAAAGTCAAAATCAAAATAAAAAAATACTTGCCATGTGATCCAACTTACCAGGACTTTTTGTTTTAGTTATAATTGGAGAGATCTCTATAGTTGCTTAGAAATAAGGCCTGGAGAAGTAGAAAAGAAAGGGACAGTTTATCCTACAGTCTATGAGAACTGTACATTATATGAAGATGTCACAGGCTAGAAGTAACAGGGAAAGATGGGAATGAGAAACTCATGGTCAAGATGACAGAAGTCAAGGTGTGCTTTGTCATTATGGTTGGACTCAAAGATCTTAAAAGTCCTTTCCAACCTAAACGATTCTATGATTAGGTCTGTAGGAAATAGCCAGGGAATAATTTCTGTGGCAACACAGTAAGAAGTACTGTAGAAGTCTTTATATCACTCCATGGTTCCTGTTGATGTCCACCTACTGATCACACCCCCTTACAACCAGGTCCTGATCCTGCTTATCACTAGGATGCCAAAATTTGCATTTGCCACAGAGTCAGGAAGTTTTAAACAACAGCAAGAATATGTCAAAAGGTGTAGAGATACTTCATTCCCCGCCTCAGATCTTAGTGCAAATGAGGAGGCAACAAACTGTTTTGTAAGGGTAGGACTCATCCCGCCTGACTGCTGGTGTTCGCAAGTCCCCGCACTCCCCTGTCAAGGGATGGAGTCAGACACTTTGGGAGCATGAGTCAACCCCTCCCTGTCCCACACATGGATCTTAGGACAGGGTGAATCACTTTCTGGGGGTGTCTGCCTCTCTCTGTTGACTCGAGGAGATGTTCAGATGACGATCAGCAGGCATGGTACCATGCAATGCGAGTGACTCAACACAGATACTCTCAGCCAGCTCTGTGCAATTCACAGCCAAGGCTGTGATTAGTGTAGGTTTCCGCACTGAAAACGTTACGGTGGGAAAAGCCTTTATGTGTATACTGAGTTTTTGTTTCTGGTGTATTTTATTCCTCTCTCTATTCTAGAATAAATGAACCCAACAGAAACATTTTTAAGGCAGTGTGACACATCTGTCTCTTGTGGCTTGGCGCTGCTTGAGTTTCAGTGCACAGGTACATCTAATGCTGTACCAGTTTCTAGCACAGCAGCACTAAAATAAGGCAAAGACAATACTTGACTTTTTTTTTTTTTCCTGCTAATCATGGAAAGTTTTTAAACTGAATAGCTAGAAGATACTGCAACAAACAGTACTTACAGCATCATTTACCATCACTTACCAATCACTTAATTGTGTGGCATTGCTCAGTTTTCCACAACTGTTCATTATGTCTACCAAAAATGTAACATATCTGGTCGGTTAAATATTAATTGAATCTACATCTGTTTGAGGCTGAGGCTATTCACTTGCAGAAGTTTCCATCCATCCCAGTCCCCAAGTCCTATATGCAAATGTTTTTTATTGAGGACTTAGAACTTGGGGGAAATTGTCGTTTTCCTAAAGATAGTGGCCTAAAGCTTCCTTCTTTGATAACACCACTGATCTGAGTGGTTTGTGGTTTGTTGTTTTTTTAAATTCAGTCTGAAATGCTAATGCACGTGTGAGCCCAAAGGCAAGGTATTCAGAGAGAGATTTGAGAGCAGATGGAAAGGTGTAGTTTTGGTGGACCTGCAGGCTGGGAGAATTTCAATGAGGAACAGAGATGGAGGTCTACCATCCTTCCTGGTCACCTTCTCCATCACCTCTCCTCCAGACATAGCTAGGCTGGAAGGAGGGAAATCCAACCCCACCACCCTTTGGGATGGGCTCCTCAAAAAGAAGGCAAAGCCTCTAGAGTGAGGTCTGAAAAGCCAGTGGATCTTCTTTCCATCCCCATAGGAGCCAGGTACTTGTGCACGGAGGAGAAAGTGAGAAGAAAGAGGAAGAAAAAATGTAGGGTTCTCAGACATTTTAGCTTTTTAACCCTGAGCAGCTGCAGCAAGCTGCTCCTTGGGTTTTCTTGAAGTAGTAAAAGCGAAAAAGAGCTGGACCTATCTTCCAGTACGTTACACATCAGAGATGGAGGGGTGTTTGTGATTGTTTGTTTTGCTTGAAACCATTAGCATTTTTTCCTTTGGATTTTATAGGTGATGCTCCCAGACAAATCTTTGGGCAAGGCCCAGTTAAACTATAGCTACCAAATTATTGAGCTTCCCAACCATGGATCTTAGTCCATTATCTGTTCCTTCACTTGCAAAGCAGTTGTCCAGTGAGCAGCAGTGGGAGCAAAGGAATAAGATGCCAGTGGCCTTTTCTCAGGAATCTGTCAGTTAATTTTTTTATGATGCTGTACTCAATGACTTGTGATAATCAATGGTATTACATTTTTAAAAGCTCCTGAAGTGTGATGGGGCACTATTTTATCTTTTGGAGCAAATAAACAGTTCAAGTTTTGGTTGTGATGGGGAATAAGATCAGGCCCCTTTGGAATATCATGGGGTACCTTCCCCATGCCATGGTGCAGGGGGATGAGTTGGAAACTGAGGGTGACTCCAGCGCGGGCAGTGCCCTCAGTGATGGGACTGCAGGGCCTGAGTGCACTGGGCAGAGGTGCACGCTGGTAATGGCTCCTTCAGCGGTCCCAGACAAGGCAAGGTGACGGACCAGATCCAAGGTCTCTTCAGGGGCTCCCACCAGGAGCAGAATAAGACAGGGCTGGAGACATGCAGCTTCGATTTGTGGTCCATCCAGGAGACAAGGCTGGAGATAAGCTACCTCCAATCTAGGTCTTCAGTCCATCCTAGAAACGGGGTAGGGGAGTTGCTGGAGGGATCAAATTCTTTGTTTTGGGACCATTTGGAGAGTATTGATGAATCTTGAAGTTCTCTGTATTTATACGTTGATCTGCATGGGACCACAGGATGACAAAAAAACTGCCTGTTTCTCCCAAAAGCGAATGTAAATGGGGATTCCTGATTAAGGCAGAATCAAGTCAATGTGAGTGCTGCTTGTATGAAAGTATTTTAGAATAAAAAAGAATCCATGCAGTTACAAGGAACATAGATGTCCTGCTCTTGTGATGGTGGACTCCAAGATAGACCCCTTTCTACAGAAATTAACCTTCATACTTGGGCTGCAGCATTTAGATGGGATCTGGATTTCAAATTCTCAAACGTGGATCTAATCAGGAGGAGGACAGAGACTGTTCCCTGTAAGAAGAGGAGAGCTGGGGTGGGGTGGCAGAGCCAGCGGCTCACGAAGATAAGCATTACGTGCTGTGTCAGAGAACTCCTGAATACAGCATCGTTTCCAATTCCCACACTGATATTTCTGTATTTCTCTCCTCCAGACTGTAAGGACAACCTGACGTGAGTTGAACCTTTGGGCTACTGAGCCTTCCCCAGATGCAATAATTTAGTGAGCAGATGATGTTTTCAACCAAACTTCCTGTCTAACTCAGTGGATCTGTGTGTCTTCCGGCAGGTGTGTCCTCTGTGGCCTCCCTGATGTCCCTGGCTTGGGTGCTAGCCTCCTATCACAAGCTTCTTCGGGACTCTAGGGACGACAAGAAGAGTATGAGCTACAGAGGGGCCCTCATCCATCTCTTCTGGCGCCTCTTCACCATCTCATCCCGAGTTATTTCTTTTGCTCTCTTTGCTTCCATCTTCCAGCTCTACTTTGGGATCTTTGTAGTGGTCCATTGGTGTGCCATGGCTTTCTGGATCATCCATGGTGGGACAGATTTCTGCATGTCTAAGTGGGAGGAGATCCTCTTCAACATGGTGGTAGGGATTGTGTACATTTTCTGCTGGTTTAATGTCAAGGAAGGGCGGACTCGATACAGAATGTTTGCGTATTACACGGTAGTCCTGACGGAGAACGCTACCTTGACGCTCCTTTGGTATTTTTACAGAGATCCTGAAACTACTGACTCATATGCCGTGCCAGCACTGTGTTGTGTCTTTCTTAGCTTTGCTGCTGGGATAGCTTTGATGCTGTTATATTATGGTGTGCTGCATCCCATGGGGCCAAGAGCTAAGATCCTTGTCAGCTCCTGTTGCGCCGAGCTGCTCTGGGGCATTCCTTTGCCCCCCGATGTTGAGCCCATGGCACCCCAAACCCCTGGGTACCGGGGGGCCCAGGCTACGCCCACCAGAGCGGTCACGGAGCAACAGGAGGAACTCACAGCTGACACTTGCTTGCCCGTTTTCCAGGTGAGAGCAATGGTACCATCTACTCCATCTGGGCGACCCTACCCCCCTGAGGGGCCTCTCATTAAGATTGACATCCCAAGAAAAAGATACCCTGCATGGGATGCTCATTTTGTAGACAGGAGGTTAAGAAGAACTATCAACATCCTCCAATATGTCACCCCCACAGCTGTAGGTATTAGGTATAGAGATGGACCTCTCTTATATGAGTTGCTACAATATGAATCTTCACTTTAAAGCTCCTTAAAGCAAAAGTAAAAGAGGGGACCTTATTTTTGTTTACGGTAAACACAGATCATGAAACAAACACAAACCTTCAGATAAGCTTTCTTTCTGGTTGCTGTATGTATAAAAAAAAAAAGATATTCTCTATGTTTTGTAAGTAAAAACAAAAAGAAAAACTTTTCTTTTGTTTTTTACACACAAGAAACAGTATTTCAACTTCCACACCTAGGATTCACAGGTGGAGAAGGAGGCATCTCCACATCAGTTTTATACCGTACACCAAGTGTAGAACATTATTTATGGGATTGGTGCTGATTGAAAAATAAAAAAAAACAAACAAACAAACCTACAACTGCCTTATGCCCTTAGGTGCTGAGTTTCATTAAGTACTGTCACCTTTCTCATGCAAAACTCTTTGATGATTATATGCCAGGAAAAGAACAACCAACTGAAATACAAACCTTAAAACTAAAAAAAAAAAAAAAAAAAAAGAAAAAGAAAAAAATTAACAACAACAACAAAAAGAGAGAAATGTATGAAAAAAAAAATCTTGTTGCTCTTATTGGATTTAGCAGAAAAAAACCAAATGGCTAAAGATAAGAAAGCAAAGCCAAGACACCCCCAATGGAGTTTGATTTTTCCAACAGCTGAAAGACAAAATCAGGTCTGTAACTCAATTTGGCAATGCATTTATAACACCATTTGGCCAAGCTTGCGAGCCTTGACCGAGTCATGTTATAAATGCGATCCCACCATGTAACCGTTTTCCTCGTGTAAATGGGCCATGCATAATGGTCGGTTTGCACCAGATTAATACGGTAATACAGTATCTGATCTTGTTTCGAACAATTGCACATACTAAAGCACCACTGTCTTCAGCGGAGTAAATAACAACCATCTGAGCCCAGAATAAGGCCTGCCACCTTGATTTCTGGTAAATAAGAAATCTGCAAACATCGAAATTATATACCAAAACCATTATACTAAAGTACATTTACACATATCTAATAACTATTTCAGTAATAATAAAACTCAGCATAGTAGCAAAAAGCGAGTCAATTTAAAGGCACAATACTTGATCAGTGACTGGCAAAATAATTTGACCTACTGTATCATTTTAAGGCTGTGAAAGGCATACATGTATTATTTGTAATCTCGTGTAAGACCTGTCATGTCTCATTCAGTGCGAGCCTTAAAGTGATTGTAAAGCATCCTTCATTCCATTTTGGGGTTTTTGGGTTTTGATTTTTGTTTTGTTTTGTTTTGTTTTTAAGGAAAACAAAACATGAAAATCGGGATATAAAAAAACAAACAACAACAAAACAACCAACAAACTTCTTCAAACGGTAATAACCTGTAAACTGACTCACGTCTCGAGATGATTTGGTGCTTTGTATTTTTGTTGATGTTGTTGTTGTGATTTAGCTGAGAATTCTTCAACTCGGTACATGTGGGGAACTGCTGATAAAAACTGTCTCGTGTCACCCTCTTCTGTAAGTACATGGCAAGAAACACCACCAGAGGAAATTCAAGAGTGTAGCGAGAGCATCGTGGTTTAGCTTAGCCTTCTCACCGCGAGGAGATGCTGCCACCTCTGATGATGGCAAAGCCTAGACGGTCACCTGCCGAGGGTTGTGTGGTTGTCTTGACATTTCTAAATAACCCACTCGGTGTCTGAACATTCACATCTCTCGAATTCTGTTTCTGTGCTGGAATCTCTTGTTTCGAGTTAAATCATGGGTTTGCGTCTATCCAACACCCTTTTCTGTTTCGAGAGTATTGCTCCTTTAAAGGAATATTCCCGTTTCAGGGCATCTTTTCAATCCCACCATCCCTCCACTTGGGAGGGGAAAACAACAACAACAAAATGAGATATTTTTAAGTGAATGCTGTAGTATTTTCTGTGTGTAATTGCAATTTTTTATTCCTGAAATACTGTAACTGTCTAGGGTGCAAAACTCCCATGCTGACCTATTCTGAAGAGAAGATCACCATGGGGGGGGATATTTTTTAATTATGATTATGATTTGTTTTTAATTTGAGGAATCAGTTGTTTTTTGAGTTATAATAGTATTTAAAGAAACTAGTACCAATTTTATATAACAGTTTAAAGAAGCTGAATGCTTTCTTCGCCTGAATATACCTGAAGAGAAACATTTTTTTCAATCAGTGATCCTTTGCAGTGTTCTGAGAAAATGTTGGGGTTTCTTCAGTTGTTTCATTTTGTTTTGTAAAGAAAACTTTTAACTAGTGTCTGTCCCTTTCAAGGAGGGCAGGACTCATTCACGCCAAACTATAGACACACGGCAAAGTTTATAAGAAGCCAAATTGTCACTGGTACTGTAATTCCCAGTCAAACTCCCATTTCAGGCAAATGTTTCTGGGCTCTGATTACAACCAAAATCATGGTCACATTTTCATGCAAAGGGAGGGATTTTGTCCTGTCATCCCCTAACTAAATTCCCAGTCCCTTGTTTACTGTGCACATAAATACATATATATATACACTCACATATATATTTGTGAAAAGCTTTCATTTCCCTTCTCCATTTTCTGTGTCCCATAACCCGTCCCTTCTCAAGTGTCCTACTAACATTCACCCTGTTTCTTCCCTAATCACCGTGCTGTCTCCATAAAAAGAGGTAATTTGTGAAGTGAACTTGCTGTCCCCAGCTACTGAGTCATAAAAACACAGAGGTGCCCATCCTTTAGCAACAGGCCGGCATTTCTCCTCCCAGGGCTTTCTTTTGACTCACCTTTAATACTAGTGTAGACTTACTCTGACCCCATTCCCTGAGCCTCATGCCCTGTGTAAAGATTCTCCTTGGTCCTTCCATGAAGACCTCTCCTCTACACATCTGTATTTCATTGCCATAAGCAAGAGAACGGAATAGATGGCAAACAACCCTGCTGTTCCTCGGGGACCTTTCCTCCAGGAGACAGCATTTTCAAAAGCACAGTGAGAAGGTCCCCCTCCCTGAAGCTGTCAACCTTGAGGTCTGGTTTGGAGATGTGATCCCACTCCCTGGCCCCACTGAACAGCTGGACCCTGCCGCTTTGCACCAGGACAGTGAAATGAGTCAACGAGCCGAGGCACGCTCATCAGGAGCTGAGGAGGAGACCCTTCAGTGTTGCCTCTCATGAGCATCTGCAGCCTGCCTTCCCTCAGGAACAGGACCCTTGCTCCAGACCACCACACCAACAGCCGTCCTCTCCATCCCGTTATGGGAGCGGAGGGGCAAAACACTCTAGAAGTGACCTTACTTCTCAACGCAGTGCTAATTTCTCACAGCCAAACCAGCTTGACTAAGGGCTTGACACACCCCTGTTCCAAAGTCCTCCTCCTTCGTGGCTCGTAGTATGGATAACAATGAAGGCAGGTGCCTCCACTGCGTGTTAAGACTGTTTCATTACGCTTAGTTGCATAAACTTTCTGCCTCTGCTATTAGTCCTTTCTTTGAATGATATCCACTTGGCATCTTGATTGAGCAAAAGATTTCCAGTGAGAGCCTGTGTCAACCCTGAAGAACTATTTCTCTTTGAAGGACTCTGAAGGACTTCATTACAGCCTTAACGTAAACCACGTGCTGTACCACTACACCCAACGAGTTCATGGTGGACAGTTTGGTGTGGTGACCATTTCCTTTTGGGATTATTTGTGATCTTGTTGCCAAACAGCGCCTTTTACCAAGCCAAAAGCTTGGGGAGGAAAATTACCCCCAGCTCTTTATTGGTACTAATCCCAATGCTAAGAGTCTAGTCCTCGCCTCTTTTTTTTTGCCCAGGGTCTCTTTGATTTTTGGTGTGCACTTTGGCAGGACTGTCAGTGACTTGTTTTGGTTTCACTTGGTTTTTAACTCCTCAGCTTCTCTCTGGTAGCTTAGTTATACCATGTCCCACCTTCTTGCCAGAATTTACTGTGTGAGGCGTTTTTCAGTCTATCATGGAGAAGGTTGAGGCCATATTTATTCACATCACAAGATCAGCGGGCAACTTCTCTGGCACGTTTGTGCTGCTGGATTCACCCTGGGATCATCTAAACCAGCCAACTATGCCATGCCAGGGCAAAGCCAGGGCACGAGGGTTCCACCATCCCCACTCCTATATTGTTCAAACCACCCCTGGCATGGTTTTGACCCACTCCAATGAGCCCTGGGCTGGGGCACAGCTCGCACAGGCATTGACGCTGGCCAGAGACCATCCCCAATCGGCAGTTTGGATGCAGCCACTCTGTACCGAGGGTGAAAGAGCTAAGTAATGTGGATGTGGCCAGCACTTGTCAGTTGGCTTCATGGCCAGAATGGATCCTGACAGTGCTTAATTCCCTGATAAAGATGTAACTGTATGCCGCAGACCAGGATTCAGGACTTGGTGGAGTACCTCAGCTCCGATCTGGCATTTTTTCTATCTTCTGCTCGATTCAATGGACAAGGTATTTTTTCAGTTCACTTTGTTCTTTTTGCTGAGGTTTATTTTGCAAACAGCATCACTTTTATCGTGCTGATGTCAACATAGCCATCCCTCCATCCAAGTCAGGTGGCTGGCATGCTTAATGTGATAGCGTTATACATCTGTAGGCAGCTAATTTGGAGACAGGAATGATTCAGACCAGACCAAATCAACAATGGAAATACAGGAATTACAAGGTCCCTGCCCATGCCCTTGTCATGCTTTGCCATCCACACAAGGCATTTTTCATCCGCAGAATATCCAACCTGAACTGCAGAAGAGGAGCCAATGTTGCACCATTACCAGTGGGAAGTTCAAGCGAGGCACCAATTTCAAGTGTAAATATATATATTTTCAATGTTTTGGATTGGAGCTAATTGTCTGCTTCATCCTGTCCTTCTCTTCACCTGCCAAAAGTCAGTAGTCATTTACATGTATTTTTATTTAAAGCTGACTAGATGAAACAGGACAAAATTAATTTCAAGCTTTAGTCAGTGGTCTGCTAAAACCTGGCTGATGCTGCCCATGAGGGGAGCATTGCTATTGACTTTCAGAGAGCAATCATCCTGTGCTCTTCAGATAAGTTTTTGAACACACAAGATTCACTTCACAATTTATCCCTACTCCTCATCCCTACGCAGAAATGCATGACACACCTGTCACCCACAAACCTGCAGCATGACTAAACCTCCTGAAGAAAATGTGGTCTGAGGTTTGTCCAGCATGATTTCATTGAAGCTCAGAGGTGCTTTGAAAAGGAAAACTTACTACTGTGCATTTGCAAAACCTTTTAGTGCCTGCTTGCTTGGCAGCTTGGGCAAGAGACAATTTGGAAGCTGCCAAAGTCAGCGGAAAATTGCGGAGAC